CCCTTTTATATGTGCATCATGATGTCGCTTGCGTGTCCAAAAGGAGCCGCGCTTGCATCGCGACGGTGCAATGTGGCTTTTGTCGTTCCGATGGAAGCAGCAACTCCTGCAGACTTGTCGAAAAGGGTTCCCCGGACGTCAAAACAGCCCACGTTGAATCCTGTTGACTCTCAATCAACAATTCAAAGTAGACCTTGGATGATCGTGCATGATGCATGGCAGGAATTGCTAGCCCCTTGCTTTCTCCGCTATCCCATAAAATAAGAGTGTCCTGCTGAAGGCACCATGCTGCAAATTGCAAGGACAGAGCGCTAGGCCAGCTGTACATCAGGACCATTTGTCTGCCATTCCTTGTCTTCTCATCACCTTCCAAGAAATGGGCACGCTCTGCAAAAACTCCCAAACTTTCCAAGCCATTCCTTCAGAGAAACAAATGAACGATAATGCAGGAGCGAGCCGAACAGATTCTACAGCGCTGGCGTTTCCAACATTTGTGGCTCCCCTCTTTGCAAAGCATTCTGGGTCTCATCATTTCTCAGCCCTTGCTCAGCGTTCATCTCCTTCACGCACGTTAGAAGTTTTATTTTGGGGTGGAGGGAGGGTGAATAGATACATCTATTTAGTGCCACATTTTTCATTTAAATAAACTATCTGTGCATTAAAAGAACCGATGAACATCACTCTGCTCCCAGTCACTGAAAGCCAATTAATTAATTGGGCTTAACTGTATATTACATTTCAAACAATACCCTTGCACTTATTCATCACGTTAATTGCAATGTTAAATTTAAAAAAAGGCAATAAATTATTCTTAAATCAGAAAGATGCACAACTTTGGGGAGACTGAGTAGCGAGAGGCATGTCTGTTTGATCTGGGATCGGAATGATGGCCACCATAACATTCTGCCCTTCAAAAATCAGAGAAAAACAGAGTGTTTCCAGACAAACAGAGCTTCAGGTTATATTTCCCCTTGTTTAGTCGTCAGCTTTACATCCTGCTTTGAATTAAAGGCCCCAGTTCTGAAACCCAAAGCGGTAGAGACAACTACATGGTTTTAATGCTGCATTCTTGATTTGGGCTGTGAAAAGAAATTAGTTCTACCAACAGTCCAATACATATCTTGAGATGCTCTTTATGGCTGATTCTTTTAAGGATAAAAGTGTCCGTGGGTCCGCTAAGCTCCTTCCTCTTCAAAACGCATGATTAATGAATGACCTATGTTTTTGGCCCTTCAATTTTTTATTACGCCTGTCCTGGTATCACTTTACAAAAAGAGGCCACCTTTCACCTGATCTTCACTGAGCCTTCAAGGATGGCAATGGACAATTTTTTCCAGTCCAAGGTTTGCATTTGATTTGAGTGGCTTCTTTGAGACCACTCTCCAAAAACTTTGGATCAAGACCGAAGCAGTGGATTTAGCCAAGACTTTCTTACCCTTTGAAAACTCAAACAGATACCTTTTGGTGTCCTAAAGAGTAGCCTCCATGGACTTTAAAATGGACCCAGAGTTTTTTCAAGCTTCGGTTGTTCTACTGAGTGGAAGCAACCAAGTTACTGAGTAACTGGCTTCCACTGGCTTCCAAAAATCCATCTAAAAAGGACAATAGCAATTAATATAGGAGGTGTCCAGTTAACAACTAATCATCTCTGTCCACAAGCAGAGTCTTTCCCTGTGGAGGTACAAGACTTCTCCATAGAAGAAGCCAGCATTGGAAAATCAGAAGCCAGCAGGGATATCAGAACCTGATACAAAGAGGGGAAAAGATAGACTCTATTTTGGCTGTAAATTCTCCAGGGATCTGCCTGCTCACACTGCAAATAGGATTCTGATCTTGGTAGAGCCTTAAGGTAATTCTTTTTGGTCTTTTTCTGCAGTGCTCAAATTCCCATGACCGCAAAAGGAACATCTGCAAGTCGCCTGAAAATCCAACCATTTTCTTCTGCTCTCGCTAGCCACAAAGGAATAATGCTGGGTAGAGTTCAAGTAGGCCACAGAGAGTTTCTCCCTTTCTAGCACATCATTATGGGATTCACATGAGTAGGCCTTCCTTACAAAGGGAAATCATATCATACGTGAGGCCGGCTTTTAAATTCTAATGAGCATCTCTCAGGACAAGTTCCCCCATCAGCCAGAAGGCCTGAGAATCACGGAAAGCTTTCCGAGCACAAAGATGGGAATCAACCCATCCCGGGGCTGCTTAGCTCGTCCACGAGAGCCGAGACAGAGGAGCTCCTGTGTTTGTGCAGGGGAGACGCAACTCCCCACCACAAATTGGACAAAGGACGGGGATCTTTCAGCTCTGTGCATGGACAAGCAAAACATCCGAGGGTCAAATTCTGAGCAGGCCTCTGCTGGCAGACAATGGCAAGGAAAGAATGCAGAGCATGGAGCTTTTCTGGTCCAGGGGACAAGCAAAAGCTGATATTTGGGAGGCAGCTGGCAGGCAGTAAAGAGGGGAGAATAAGCCAGACAAACCAAAACCCAAGGGCAAGGGAAGAGAGGGAGGTGGAGAAGCAAATGGAAAGTTCCTTGCAAGCATCCACTGCTTGAAGATTTTCTTCCCAGAATCTTCAGGACTTTCCACCAAGGAAGCGAGTTTCTCAGCTGAGCCCAGCAGCTTTTTGCTACCTGCATTTCTAGCCACCACCAAAGCTGTTTGTGGCCATCAATAATATTAACCAGGATCATACCAGTAAGAGGACAAGTGTTGCGGGGCTGAGAACTTGAGGATGACAGCTTCCCCAGGAATACTCGACCAGCATCTTTTCAAAAGTTACACTGGATGTATTATTAACAGCTGCCCCCCAAATGGTTTCTAATTTGGGGGGATTGAGTACAGATGAGCTAGCAATAACTTTCATTAGGGCAGTGCACATCATTAAGTAATTATTTCATGTATCACTCTTATGCACAACGTCCCCAGTGAAAGATGGGGGGTGTATCCATATGCATGGGCTGTCCACGCTCCAAGAGCGAAAAGAAGTATTTTGTCATTCATAAAATGATGCAAGTAGAACTATCATTCACATTCAGAAGGGCCGAGAATGACATTTCCAAATCCTTCGCCTCCGGATCTTCGAAAGTGAAAAACAGAAATCGCTAACAAAGCCTGTCAGAATAGGTTTTATTTTCGTTCTCTTTGCAGGCAATGTTGATCCAGTGCAAAAATGAAACATTTACACCTCTGGGCCTTACACTTTCCTTCCTGGGCACCCCTGCCACGTGGTTCAGGGAAACCAATAAATAAGCAAATAAATAAAATCAGATTTCCAATGCTGAGATTTCTGCTTTTGTTTTTTCCCTTCCTCCAGTGCTTGCTAGCGTAGCAAGCTGTTGACATTAAGACAACCGTGATGGTTTTTAGAGCGCTAAGCTGTTAAGCTTGTAAGTTTGGGCATGAATAAAAATCTAAAAACTCTCCCCCTTAGCTAAAGTCATCTCTTCTAAGGCAGGAGACGCCGAGCCTGCTGCTGTATTTTAAAAGCCTATGACATTTCTAATGTACTAAAGTGTCTCTGTTGTTTTGCCGATGCGACTTTCATTACCGTGGCGCAAATGGCTGTTACTGAACTGTTACTGAAGGGCTGTATTAGGAACAGGCAAGTGGGGAAATGGCTTAGACCAATGAGAGACAAAATGACCCATGACCTTCCCGGGGATTGACTCAGGGTTTAGATTTAATCAACCCACGGTAGGTAAAAAAGAGCTCCAATCGGTCTAACTAATTGATTGACAAGCAAGAAGTTTGCATTGTAGGACAGCAAAGCCAAACATGAATCCTTGTTCTTGGGTTTGTCGTGGGATGACATTCGAAAGGGAGCTGAAACTGCTCATCTAACTTGACAAGCAAGAGCTTCTCAGTGGTGGCACTGGAACTCTATGGATGGGACAGAAGGCAAGAGTCAACCCTGCCTTTCTTTTCTCAAACGCTTCAGCAGGTACTTTGTTACCAGCAGGTACTTCAACTGCTGGATTTAGTTGCTATGGCTTGTCAAGAGCCGCTTATCATCTGAAGAGCTTTTCACCCAGAAAGGACCAGCAGAGGAGCTTCTCAGTGCCACTCCGAAGTCAAGGAACCATGAAAGAAAGCCGTCTGCTGCTCATCACATTTGCAAAGAGAAGAGGGGCTAGTCCCTACTGCAACAAGTAACAGGATGATGTGGGAAGGGCAATTTTAGTTTAAGAAATGGCAGGGAGTAGTCAAGCTTACTCCTCCACAGTGGTCTGAAATCTTCTCCCAAGTCACAATTCCTTAAAACCAAAATGCAATCAAATAGGACCTAGACTGCGCATTCTCTGTCTTGTTTAGTTTTGGTCCAACATATAGATCAAGGACAAAGCTGCATTGCATGAGGGTCTAACACCAGGTATCTCCCATTGTGGTGGCCATTTCTGAAAGCATCCCCAAGCTTTTCTCAAGGTTCAGAATGTGCCCACTGGCCCTCCAAAGTCATTCATTCCTGGTCTGAAGGATCAATGTCAGAAAAAAAAAATACTAGATGGTTCTGGATAATAAATAATAATCATAGAGTGCTCTGGATAGTAGTTATAGATTATAATAAAGGTCATCTGGCTCCAAATATATTCCCCGCTCCTACAAGTGACATGGCCATCCTACTTTCCCCAGGAAGCCCCCATGTACTTTCTGCTCTACAACCCTGTGGCAGAGGATTCATAGTCTGAAGACCCCATCTTTGGCCTTTGGTATTATTGAAGAATAGGATTTTGAGCATCACCAGGACAGATCTTCACTCCATCTGGAAAAGTGCAGGTAGATTCTAGAAGTGGGTCCCTTTGTGCAAGAGAAGGGGGTTCCTCTCTCAAAGGCTATCAAATGAGTACTTTGGGGGATAGTTAAGGGGCATAACCTGGGGCTGATCCAGGAATGACTGAAGAAATGTCCTCTGCGTACCCGCAGACAAACGGCCATTCATCTCACGATTGGAACCTACCGATCCCCAAACTTCTCAAACCACCCCTGAAGGAGCCTGGTTTTACCTGTGATACCGTGATGCTGCATTTCTTTGCCAGCTCTTCTTTGGCTTCTTCGCTGGGGTAGGGGTTGCTGAGGTGTGAGTAAAAATACTCGTTCAAGATTTCTGTGGCTTGTTTACTGAAGTTGCGTCTTTTTCGCCTAAGAGCAGAGCAGAGGAGGGGAGAGGGAGGAAGGAGGGAAGGAAGGAAGGAAGAGAGAAATCCCACAGGTGAGACTCAGATCTGGAAAGTAAGCAAAGAAAAAATGGGGAGAAGACCTTTTTCACTTCCTTTAATAGGGGCGGAGGGGCAATCCTGGGGTCCCAGTGCCCACCAACAGCTCCTGTGTTGCCCTGACTTAAAAACAAAAAAATCCAGCAAAAATGCAGGATCACTTACGATTGCTCTGAACTCATACCTAGAGCAGTCACGCATCCCCTCACCCCGCCTGTCAGCCTTGCAAGGTAGTCCAGACAAGAAGCACACCCAGGACTACCAGCACTATCTTTATTGTAAGGTTACATGAACAGAATCCTACAAGTCTGAAAGAACATCTCTCTCCTCCTCACCTTACAGTCCAAGAAACTAGGGAGGGTCCCATCTGAGATACTTCCCACACCCCCATTCCTGCTGCAGGCTAAGCTGCCTCTTATCTGACTGTTCTCCCGGCTGCGGCTCTTTCCCCGTCTCCCAAGGTCATTCCCACTTCCCATTATATCTCTTCCCTCACCTTCCTTCGTTCGCTATATTTCTCAATCATAGGCATGCTTGGCTTATTTCGATATCCATTTTTGTTCTGCAGAATGAGCTATTTCGTGGCTATTTTGGGAAGAGATGTACTTTCAAACTTGCCAGATTGTTGTCAGCCTTGCGAGGTAGTCCAGACAAGAAGCACACCCAGAAGTACCAACTCTAACTTTATAGTAAGGTGACATTAACAGAATCTTGCAAGTCTGAAAGTACCTCCCCCCCCTTGTCTTTACAGCCCAAGAAACCAGGGAGGGTCCCTTCTGAGACGTTTGCCACGGCCACATTTTCCAGCATTCCCTATCTTTCTAAGAATATCTACAGGGCCCATATCTTGAAAATAAAACATACTGGGGGCCCAGCAACTCCATGTCCAACCATCCAGAAAAAAAATTAAGCAAAACTGGAGAAGAACCCAGCAGCAAGGGCTCAAAAATTGTAGGACAGCTGCACCAGCCTTTGTTGGCTAAGCAATCTGCATGTGAGTTAAAAAGCTAAATGTGCCTGATTTTTTTTTAACTTTTTTTTTTTTTTTTTGGTCAGAATGATTCTGAAGACTGGTTCTCATAGAATTCCACCAAGACTTAACACGGAGTGTTTTGTAGAGGGAACATATTTGCTGGATTATCTGCTAGTTCCACGTACTAGAAGAAACCATCCAGGAGGGAAATCTCTCCTGCAAATGTTGCTAAAATCCAACTTCTGGGGTCCTCCTTTGTTGACACTTCTAGGAATTGCTGTTTGCAACATTGAGAAGGCCACCGATTTTCCACCCTGGCCCCAAACCTAACTGACTTTGCCCAAAGGTGATCTGGCAGACGTGACACTGAAAGGAGCTTAGCTGCAGCAAGACGGTTTAACATATTTGCTCTGGAAGAGAGGGGGTAAAAAAAATTTAAAAGATTGGGGTGGGTCCTGCTCAGTGGAAAGGTAAGGGATCTTGCCAAGCTACTCCTTTTCAAACAATTGGGTTCACCTTCAGTTCACTTGGGAGTGGCCACCAAACCAGAGCTAAAGGCAGGGATGCCGAGATGCTTGCAAAATTCTTGCAGAATTGTCCTATGGACCCTCCACAGCTCTGAAAGAAACTACCTACAGCCTCTCTCCCCTCTTGACCACCTCCCATCCTGCCCAGTATGTTTTTCCTTTCTTCTTTCGCAGCCTGTTCTTTAGAAAACCCTTTAAATGCTTTTCCTCTGGGCTTCCTACGATTAAACTGCCTAGATGTTCCACAGGGAGCTCCCATCTGGAAGGCTGTCCTCCATTAGTAATCCAGCACGCACACATGTTTTCCAGCATCAACCCCTCTTCCCTGGAGCAGCGCGTTCTCTCATTCCTCTACTTCCTCCTATTTTCTGCCTCGCCTTCTTGCTCTTTAAATGCAGGTCCTTCTTTCTCTCTCAGGCGCTGATTTATCAAACCAGCATGGCTTCTTGGCATCAGATAAGAGAAGACCATGGCCAAGATTGGTGGCTATGAGCAATGGGGTTGCCAGCTGGTGGCAGGCCCCAAAGCCATGACACCAACCCTAACCCTAACTCATGAACCATTCTAATAGCCAACTTTGCATCTTGTATCTTCCTACACGATGCTCCTACAAATGGCTGAGCATCTTCAAACTTCTGAAGTTTAATCACACCAGAGCGGAAGCAATATACTTAAGCTTTAGTTGCCTGGCCTTCAGAAGACCGAACTAAATGTTTCGACAGTATAATTCCGTGGAGGAGCAATGGGGTGGCTGTTATTATTAAACAACTGAGAGTTAAACATTTACTAAGAAGAATAAGAATGTCTATATTGCTCTCCCTTCCAGAAGTGCCAAGAAAGTTGCCAAAAGAACAAAACAACCTTGAATAAAACTGTCAAGAAGACAACTAACAATCCTTAAAAACAGTCTCATGCAGAAATTAAATGCAAGCAGAGTTTTAATGCCGTCTCAGAAACAATGTAAAAACAGTCTGGTTGTACAAATGTCTGGGTAAGCCAGTATACAGCCAGCGATAGCATCCTTGACGTTCCACCATGGAGATGATGCCAGCGAGAAGGTTCTGCTCCTGAGCACAGAATTTTGAGCTGAACCCACCAAGAGAATCACAAGCCAACTTCCCCAGCTGATTCTAGCACACCTGTATGGCTGGCATTGATGCTTGTTGGTTCCTAAGCCATTTAGGACCCTTGTCCACATTTGGTGTATCAGAGACAAAGCTGAGGAAGGGAGGAGAATATTTTTCAGAACAGACGCAATGGCATCATCTTCTAGAAGTGACGCAGAAGTGGACCTTGTGAAAACAAGACTTTTGAGTCCTGCTATTACGATGGAACCATAGGGAGCCTTCAAACATTACTGTGAATAGCTAGTAGAAACAACCCTTCTGGATCTACTGCAATCCCCTAATAGATGTACCAGATTTACCCACCTGGCATCAAGGAACCGGGATCTCAAGATCATGACCGCTTCACAAGTGCTTTGTTTAAGCTGCATCTGGATGGAGCTGAATTTTCGATGGATGATGCCGACCATCCTTTCTATCTCTTTGGGGGAAATGGGGCGTGTTCGACTCTGCTCTCGGAGAAGGTTCATCACATGGGTGGTGAACTCATTGCACGCCTACGGAGAGGGGGAAGGAGAGAATCAGCAGTGAGGGGTAGTTTGGATAAAGTCAGCAACTGGAGACACACAACATGCTTAATCCAGGTTAAAAAAAACAAACACTTATGGATGTGTTCCAATGATCTGCTGTACCACCAGAGTCAACCATATGATGGCTTTACACAATGTTTGGGTTCACAGAACCTGCTAAAACAACACCAAGACCCAAACCGTAACACCCCAGCCTCCTTTTAGCAGGGTCTAACACATTGTTTGAACTCAGTCAGTGAGAGATCTTTCCTCTGGCAGAGTTCGTTTTTATTTCCTTGTTAGAGCTATATCCTGCCTTTCCTCCAGGAGTTTCTTCCATTTTTCCCCAAGCATAAACTCGACGAGGTACCCTGGGCAATGCCAGATCCTTAGTTGCTGTCTGAATGGAAAGTGATTTTTTCCCCAGCTCACATCTCACAAAGCTCTCTCCAAAAGCTTTATGAAGACAAAAGCATAAAGGCATAAAGAATTGCAGCAAACCTACTTTTGGTTTAGAACCAATATATCTAGGGGTATATTGGGGCACAGACTTTGTGAATCTCTTTCTCCCAGTCTTACAATGCACCAGAGAGAAGATGGGTCTCTTCCTTGACAAAGGGGGAAAATCTACAGTTGTGAATTATTTCCACAAGGCGTGCTTGGATCCGTATCAGTCTGTGAACCATTTCTTACAGGCTCTGACCAGCCCTACGTCTCCCAGGGAACTTCCCTCCCCGAGGGTTGACTAGATCCTGGGTCTCCCTAGTCATAACCCAGCCTGTTAACCACACCACCATGCTGGACGTTTGTGGCTGATATCCCAGCTAGAGAAACAGGGGTGGGACAAAGCATAAAATAAAACCATGGGAAGACCTGTCGGTGCTGACCGATCTACTGGAAGGTTAAAAGCAAAATTATTGCCCAGCACAGGGTGGGTGGCCAGAAAGAAAGGAGTGCAAATCTTGCCTCCAGATCACAGGTTCCTCCAAGCATCTCTGAAAACATATTACGGCAAAGATGACTACGAACGCAAATGCTGATTAGCAATTTGGCAGCGGACCAGTCTTTCTGCGGGATTCAAAAGAGCTCGCCTTTAAAACCAGTACTTCATCCATGATTAACCTGAACAGCTCATTTATGGAGTGTGCACTTAGCTCATTACTCTAAGTAAAATTTGTTAAGTATTTACATTTAGATAATTAAAAATCTGGGGGCAATCTTAAGACAGAGGCTCGGTGTTGCTGCTGAAACAGAGAATCCTTCGCTCGGAGGCAGTCAAAGGAAACATTTCTTCCTGCATCACCCCAGAGGAAATGCCCTGGAAAGGTTTTGCTGGACCCCCCACTCCCAACCAGCTCAGGCCCGCGAGACGAGGCTAAATAGCTTCTCCACCCTTGCTGCGGGGTCTTTCCCCAAGAATTATTTGCAAGGATGGAGAGAGAAAGAGCAGGAACATACAGCAGGTTTCCATAAAAACGGAGATGGTCATGCAGCTGGAAAGCCACAGGATAACTATTCTGTTTTCCCCACTGCAGTTTTAGCATGATGAATTGCCTGTTGGGCCCTGTCTCTGTTTTCTCTTTCTGGCATTAAAAAAATAATACCTCCCCCCCCTCAATCCCTTTAGCTTTGCCTCGTCCGGCAGGCTCCTGGTTTGGGTACCCTTCCTTGCTCCCCAACAGCATCCTTTCGGAGAGAGGGCGACCAGGCGTTCTGCGTGCCTGTGTGCTCGGCAGGTACCCGGTTGTCCTGGGAGTTTTGAGACGCTTACAATACTTTTGCCTACAGCAAAAATGTATTTCAATGTAATTATAGAAGATAGCTTTCAATATGTCATCTCTATTATAGTGGCTGTAAATTATGAAGAGAAGCATTTCTCCTGGCGCTAAGAAAGTGAGAGAGAAACTGATGGCATGACATACTTTCTGAAAGAGCTCGGTTCTCTCCTCCCCCTTCCCTGCTGCTTTAAAGTGCACTCCCTTAACTGGCAACAAATGTCAAAATCAAACTCCAGGCAGGGGGCAGGAGGTGGGGGGCCTGAAGCCACAATAAAGACAGCATCGGCCTTTGCTTCTGGGTTCAAAGGAAGCCGTGGCGAGCAAGAGAAAGGCAGCAAGACACAAGGGCAGCCCCCTTCTTGGGGGACAGAATTACAGCTGACCCAGATATCTAAAAGGGACAGATTATGTTCCCTGTCTCCTACTTTCTAGGTCTTGCTTGAGGCAGGAGTTGTAGGTTTCAGGAAGGTATTATTGTGATTCTGATTCTCTGCAAGTCCCTGACTTTGAGGTCTAAAGCCTCTGGAGTGAGACCAGATCTATTTGCATGTACTGTAGATGATCTCAGATTCAATGGTCGGCGTTTGCGGATAAGGTTCAGAGAACTCCAGCCTGGGCTTGAGGAATCAAAAGATCATCTCAACAGAGATCCATTTCCTTTGCTCATTGATGCCTTTATTCAGAATTGTAAAGACTAGCTTCTTTATTTTTAGGGGAAGGATGGAGCCCAAAGTCTGTCTGCAGAAAATCTTAGCTGGCATCACTAACTTGTTCAAGTAGGGTTGGGAAAACCTCACCTGAAAAGCTGCTGTTAGTGGCCATAATTTTAACCTTGATAGGTCAAACATCCAGCTTGCTATAAAGCAGTTTCTTATATTCTAACCTGGGATCCATCTCTTCTCACCCTTCACATCTCAGCAGAATGGGCTGCAGGTTTTACACACTCATTGGCTCCCTCATTCATACAATCAACTCAGCAATACCTGCAGCTTTAATGGAAAGTGTGTCTGTAGCAAGAGGGTCTTGGCCTACACTCTACCCCATCCACAGCTTGCAAATTCTGGCCCCGGGGGGGATCTGATTGATATCACAGCTTAAATTCTGGATACCGCTTGATCTTCTGTGGGTGTGTTTTACAGGAGAAAGGAAGGAAGTGTGAGGACTGAAGGTCAAAAGAGCCTGAGACCATTATCAAAACATGGTATAGGTGCCCTCTATATTCAAGGCTGAGAAATGAGCAAAGGGACACCTGTTACCATGTAAGGACAGAAAGAGAAGACGTAAACCCAGGGCTTGTTATATACAGTGGATTGGTTAGGTTCATTCTACAATAGGTCATTTTCTTTGTCCTCAAGCCTTCTACAGCAGTAGATAGATCTACTGCTTTGGCTTCCATATTGAAACACACAACTGGCACTTTCACAAATCTCCAATCCACCCTTTCCACCTGTAACAACCTCCTCAAAAAAAAGACTTTCAAAAAAAGTCCAAGCCAACCCTCGTGGGAAAAAAACCCTTTTGGTTCCTCAGCTGTGAAGACAGCCAACATCCTCAAGACAAGCTTGCATTAGAAAGTTGGCTGCAAGGCATGGGGAGGAGACCCTACTGGGTGTGAGAATCAGTGGAAGAAAACTTGTGGGTTTTGATTCGTCTTAGCTTTGTGCTCTTCCAAGCAACACAGATCTTCCCTCACCCTGCCCCATCCCACCCCACCTCACCTCAGTTTCCTGGGGTTTGGACAGATGTATAAGACATTTCAGTTGAAAACCTTTACTAACTCAGCTGTGGGGACTGAAACACTTGCATTTATTAGTCTGAGAGCTACCAGACCAGGAAACCAGTGTCCTCAAAACTTGGCATTTATTTCTGCTGCTCTCCTGTCTACTGAGACTTTTGCTGGACAGTTTTCACTTAAAGCAGGCTCAGCATTGCTTCATTTCTGCCATGGTTAGAGCACAAGAACTGGAAGTCAGAGCTAAGAAATGCAGAAGTGTCTCTTGGTGGGCTGGGGTGGTTTCTCCTTCCTTTTAAGAAAAGGCACAAGCCTTTTGCTTCCCCCAACAAACTCATGCAAGATTATGAAAACAATGGGAGATAAAAAGCTTTTTTTCATCCCCAAGAAGGAAGTGGGTCAGAAGAAGTATCTTCTCCCCAATGGAAAAAGAAATCCATCTCCTCTCTGCAAGAAAAAAGACTTTTCCCCTGAATTTTTCCATTATTGGCTACGTCTTCACATTTCTGCCCCAGACCCCAAGATTCTACCCCACCATAAAATCCACCCTTTCAGGTGAGGATCAACACCAACCTTAAGACATCTGAATTACAGACTGAATTTACATTTTTTGAAATGAGGAGGGCATGAATTTAATTGAATCCAATTGGCCCACCTTCTGCAGCCTCGCAAAGCAGAGACCCACCACCAATGTCAGCAGATGCAAAGGTATCAAGCTCTCACCTGCTCATATTTCTCCAGCTCGGTGTGGTAGATCTGTCTGATCTGCGTCAATTTGGCTCGGTAATCTGAGTGTTCGATAGAGTTGTCTGAAGACCCGCCAGAGGCTGCCGCCGCCGCCGCCGCTGCTGCAGATCCGCCGCCTTTCTCGGGACCCGAGACTCCTTCTGCGAGAAGCATATTGTCCAACCTCATGAGCTGCGGATCTGGGGGGTCTTCCTCTTGCGCCCCTCGGATGCTGAGACCTTGGGGGAAGGAAAACAAGAAGAGGGTGACCTAAATTAACTCAGCCTGAAATTTCCACGCCTGCATTTATCCTGCCAGCTCTTGGACCCACTAAAACAGAAAGCATTGCTTTTCCATACAGAGATACTTTCATGGGAATTTCTGCAGCCTTCTAGCCTGCAGGAGTTGGCCTTCAGGAAGGTGCCATTCAGCCAAGATTCTGCATTGTGCAACTCAAGTGAATTAAACAGTGGGATAAATAGTTTTATCAGTGTAGCTCTCCGTTCTTGCATATATATTTGTTCCAGATTACCAAGTGGTCCATGGCTGGATTCACCTGTCGTCCTAAAGCATGGATACGAAACCCATGGCCCTCAAGATGTTCCTGAGCTACATCGCCCAGCATTCCTCGTACTTGGCCATACAGTTGGGCGTTGTATGGCAACCTCTGGAAGACAGCACATTACGCGCCCATCGGGTTTCTTGCCCTGATTTCATTTTTAAAGATGTTTTTTGATTAAACACACCTAACGCAAGCCAGCATACTGCAAAGCCAAAAGCCACCTTCTTTCCTCAGAGGGCCCCAAGGGAAAGAAAAAGGAGAGATGTTCCAGCCCACGGTTTGCTCTGCCTGGCAAATGGGTCCTTTGCGACTGCTGCCCCCCGAGCCATTTTATGAAAGCTCCCATGACATTGTCTCAAAACTCAGCCCGCTTCCCAGGAAGCCCCCAAAGGCAGACGATTCCTAAGAACAACAAATCCCTCTATTAAGGAGGGAATGCAAACATTTTGCACTTGGTGGGGTTGTTCCTGGTCTGAGCAAGGGGTGGAAGGGGAATGAAATCCCAGACAGATTGAAAGGAGAGCCGGACTCTTCCCCCAAGGAGAGGCCCACCACTCAGTCATCAATCACTTGAGGCTCTCGGGACTCCCAAGCAGCTCTCGAATGCCCAGTTCTGCTGTTGAGCAAACGTACAGTGCCAGCCCTCCCGTTAGATAAGGCAGACCAGCTGCCTTAAGCATCTGCTATCGGCGTTGTGAAAAGGCAACAATTCCTCCGTCGCTCCGGTTTGTTCTATTTTTACTGCCAGAGAGGAACGCGAGGCATGGACGTCAAAGGAAATTAGCCAGTCTTGGGTGCTAAGTATATTTTTGTCCAGGGAATCTTCTTTTTCGGCTGCTCAATCACAGGTAACTCCTGACCTGTGCTCTTTTACCACCTTGCCCTGTAGAAATTAGGATTTCAGGGCCCCAAACATATGCTTTGTTGGCAGCAGCATCTGTTTATTAGCAAGCACCCCGTTCCCCCTCTCCCACCCCGAAGAAATCAAAAGCGTCGGCTGCGCAAGAGAAGCTCCCCAAATCAGGCCTTGTCAGCAGTCCCATCTGAGCGCCACAGATCAAGGCTGACAATTTGTACGTTTAATCGGGTTGAGGTGGGCGGACTGCCAAGATGTTCTCAACACCGCAAAACACAACGTTGAGATTATAATTACAGATGTAAGGAGAAAATTGCAAGACCTCTTCAGATCGGTTAAAGATGTACGACAACCCTCCAAAATATCCCTGTCTAATTAACCTCTTCCAGTATGTTTGAAAAAGCAAGTATTCCTGGCTGATTCCCGTGGGTGGGGGGAACCCCCCAGCGCTCGCATGCTGATACCTCCTTCTCCGGCAGAGGGGTGTCCAGATCCAGCCAAATGCAAGTCCCATGCTGGGAACGGCGAAGTTCTCAACATCCGCAAACCACAAGTGTTTGGCTCAGAAATAGCAGCGAGATCAGATTCCCTTGCCTCTCGCTCTGACTTAGCTCCAGGGAAGAGGAAGGAGAGGAAGAACATCTGTAGCTATTCCCCCCTGCACAGTCATTCAGACTCCGTCTGGGCTATTGTCATCTTATGTAGAGCGTGTGTCTTTCCATGAAAGACTGTTCAAACTCCACACCCACCTATCCTGTGTTGACAATCAGCCAACTTTTTGAGGGGTGACCAGATTCCAGTGGTGGGAAGGGCTGGCAAGGACATCTAGTCTACCCTTCCCTTGAGGCAGGAATCTCAAGTGTCCTCAACAGATGGCCATCCAACCTCTACTCAAAGGCATCCACTGAAAGAGAGATCATTGATTCTCCAAAGTGGTCAATATTGCCTCCCAAGGGTTGATGGGACTATCCAAGGGGTTGATATTGAGGTTGGGGTTGTTATTCATAGTACTATTAAAGTAGTATTTATGAAATTATGTTCATATCATAAATGTTTGGGGGTCAATGAACGATCTGAAACTTCATGAAGGGGACCCTTGACCTAGATGTATTATTTTAGGAGACAATTCTTTGAAAAGCAGCTTTTCACCAAATGACACAATCTGAAAACATATCCATCAGCTCCATGGTGGACAATCTAAGATCTCAGGTTTCGGGGTATCGAAAAGCTCCCAAACTGCAATTTAATATGGTTAAATATATGTGTGAGAGATTGTGGAGAGGTTGGGAAAATAATGGGAAGGAGATTAAATACATGCAATCAAGGGATAAAAGGAGAGATGGTTAGTACAGTAGCCTGTTTTATCAATAGCAAGTCAGTCAGAATCCTGGTATTTCAAATCATTCGAAGAGAGTCCACCTTGAATGAACTCACTAGAAACAAGGGATGCAAATTCTCCTTGCATTTTCCAAAATTCTGTATTTACCCCAAGACTAGCATTAAAGACCCCTTCTTGCATACTCTGTAATTCTTGCTCCTGGGCAAGATCAAGGGGTTGGACTTGAATCTTGGATTAAAGGCATGAGAAGCAATGCCTTTCACTGCATCCTCCAGCAGCTGACCTGAACCCCCGTTTTAATTTCTTAATTACCAAAACACACGCGAGAATGTTATTCTGGAAACGAATGCTCCACCTCCCTGCAGACCGAAGGATCAACAATAGGGAAGATGTTTCTACAGGTCTACTGGGCACAGAGGTGAGATTTCCTTTCCATGCATGACCGCCATCCTTTATAAATTAAGCACTGATACTATGTACGTTCTCGACATATAAGCTCACAACAGTGGTTATTGTTTGTCTATTTTTATTCCCTAGTATATCAACCTACAGGTTTATTACTGTTTAGCTCGGTGACCTTTCAGCGCTTCATGGTATTAGAGATATAGCATGGGCTTCAACGGGCGCAACAATCTATCACTTCCAGCGTAACAGGAGAGGTACTAATGACATTGGAAACGCAAGGACTCAATCTAGATCGTTATGCATCAGCCTAGAGCCAAAAATATTTCCAGATCCAATAAAGGCGGCTTAGACCCGTGCTCCTTTTGATGGATCTTTTGGGCTGCTTTCAACCCCAACCCTTCCTTTTCCGCCGGAGAAGTGTTTTAACAACATTCTTCTTGGGCGCGGCACAGAAGGTTAACCACAAGCTTGTTTGCTCCCAATTTCTATCTACTTAGAGCCACACCATTCATTTCCGTATCTGCAAGATCCCGACAAATCGCATAAACAGACGCTAAAACATTGTTTAACAATGAACCTGGCTTTGTTATAAAACCACAGTTTTAGCATATCTTTCAGAGGATCCTAATTAGCTGTCTTTCAATGCGCCATGCACCTGCCTCCGTAGATAACAGACGAGAGCGCCTGCACCAGCTCCAGCATTCAGAGGCCAATAAATAAATTGCAGGTCAAAATTATTACAAAGCCTATCCTTCGAATAAACCCATCTCCTTCACAACACAAAGCCACCGATATGAAAAGCACCTAAAATCCCACTCAAATGGTATGATTACAGGGGCTGTTTGAGTTTAATAATCTGACTGTAATTCAGGCATTTTCAACAGCTCATTAAGGGTTCATTAATATATGGGCAAGCTTTTGAATTATAAATAAGCAGATTAGAAACCCGCAGTGTTGGAATTGTACAGTAGGTATGCTGGCTACCAGAATAATATTGCAAGTACAATGAAAGGTCTGCCCCAGAGAGTTCTGGGGAGATAAAGGACAAAGCTTTTTCAGCCTTATTTATTAATTCATTTCCATGTTCACCTTGAAAGGAGCGTATGCTGTTGTTCCAAAGCTTTAAGTCAAATATTTTCAAAACATGCCTATCACAAAAGAGCATTGCACCATATACAAGGACTTAGGTGTCCAACAGTAAAGGGTGGAGGGTGGAAAGGGAGCTAACACTAAACCAGCTAACTGCCAAGATAATGCTGATCTATGAGATGCCTCTTCAGAAGTAAAAGCCTTTGTTTCATTCCTGAGAATTTGGATGGGAAGAAGCATTGTCAAAGGCATCATATTCCATGAACATGTTGACTGGCTCACTCATGGAATATATGATGTATGTTCCAAGCTATCCTCTTGATGCTATTTCCTTTCAAAAATCCATTCCCCCCTCCAGCTTTTTACAATGGGTCTTTGGGGCAATTATAGCTTATGGGCCCCACCACTGAATGCAATGAGTTTAGAACCTTACAACATTATCGGATTTTCTTGCGGAGTGCTGCTAAGGGAAAATGCATACTCTTATCAGCATTTTGAAACTGATACACTCAGGCTGTTTGAAATATGTGAAATTAACTAGGGAATGGGGAAAGTCTTCAGGATAGATTGATTTGTTTACTCAGACTCATAGGCCACTTCAGTCTACAGACTCTAGGTGATTAGAGTCTTGGGACAGAGGGGACACCCGAAATTTCTGCTCCCTACAAGAGACCAGTGGGTAGGAAGGATATGAAAAATAATGGTTTGAACTTGTGTACGTTCACAGTTAGAAAGTTAGATTGAGTGCTATTTGCTCCTCAAAATTTGTGACCATTCTAGCACTGCTCCTTTTTATGTAGTTATGAGTTAATGTCTCAAGTTCACTTTATAAGTATACCGTGTCTCATGCCCAATGTCTACTGGACGCCAACTGTTTGTTGGAAGCTTCCAACACCATGTTACCCAATGTCTTGAAGGAATGAGCCTGTCCCCACTTGGTGGTCTACAGTTTTTGACCTGCACCTCCCAGAATTGCAACCATCATGGC